TTAGAAAACTGAAATTTCAACGAATTGTTCCCCGTCCACACTTCCCGGATTTCGAGGACCAGTATACCACACATTTCTAGCTACTATGTTCCGAGTGATCTCATTACAGCATGAAATGCTGTAAAAACGCATGATCGCACGGGCCCGCCCAGTGCACGTCACTAATGATTTGTAACGTTTCATGCTGTAGCGAGATCGCTTGTCTAGAATTTATGGCATATTGGTTCAGGAAGTTAATTATGCAACTACGTGGTACTTGGACAGGAAACATCCCATTAAAATTTCAACTTTCCAACTTTCCTCATCCTCTTTTTAGCAATTTTGTCGCCAAAAGTTTCACGGGCCGTAAGTAACCTGGAGGCATAGCTGGGGGCTGAGTTTGAAACTTCTAAGTTGTACTGGGCTGAGAATTTCAGCCCTTCAACTCTCCTGTTTTCCGAGTTAGCCATTTCCCCCCAAAAAATTTCACGAGGCCGTGCGTGAGAACCGCGCATGCCTAGGGGCTGAGTTTGAAATCTTTGAGTTCTATATGGACGGGGAATATAACCTCAAAATTGCAGGTTTCTAGGTTTTCTGGTTCCCAAGTTAGCGATTTTCCCACCAAAGCGTTCGTCGTCTCGTACGCGGGGTCCAGAACTGCGTGAGGACTGGTACTGCGATCTTACGTGGCACTTGGCAGGGGATCCACTGGCAAAATTTTGGCGCTGGAGCTTACTTGGTTGCCGAGTTGAAGTGCTCAAACAGACGAACACACACACGCACAAACAAATAAACGCACACATACATGCGCGCATACATACACCGGGTTTGTCAGAATATGCGTTTTTGCATTTGCACGTATGCAAAAACGCATAACACGGAGAGTTGTCAGAAAGTTTCCGATCATTTAGCTCCAAAAAGCACATAGATTTATTTTTCTGTTAATTTAAAACTCTATAAACGTCGCGTAGTCGTAAATTTAATGAGAATTATGTATGCTGCTGGTGCAGATCAGAATAATCATGTTAAATTCAGACTCCTAGAGATAACTTGAGTTTTCATGGAACAAGGTCTTTGTTGCTGCAAGAGACGTGAACTATATCCGTTATAGGTGTCGATCAACGATGACCAAAGTCTTGACTGGAATGCTGAGGATGAAATCGCTAGTAATATGATATGCATTGCTATTTTTGGCATACAGGTCGGCTTGTCTTTGCTCTAGTAGTCCTCAAGAAAAAATTCATATATACTTGGTACTGAAAATTTTTGATGAATTTTCGCCATAGCTTCGCATCCACCATTCTTAGCGTGATTCTGTTTTTGTTCCTGTGCCTTATTAACGGTAGCGGTTATGTTTACTCAAACGAAGGAAAACGATCCTACCTTTTCGATGCGGTAGTGCATGCACCTCTTACGGGTGACTCAGATTAGCATGAAAGATGCAGCCCAAGGGAAACTGGGTAACGGCTGCGTATGATCAAATTCGATTCTCAGGCGTTCTTTTTTTGGGATTTTGAGGTCAGTGCCGTAAAATACTCATCTTTTGAGATGAGCCCTGCGCTTAACATAGAATGCTTTCGTCACCAGCAACACATGCAATACAGGCTTGTTTGTTTCAGTTTGAAGCAGAGCAACTTTGGGTTGAGGAATTTCTGGGGTATTGATCCCACCAAAAATCGGTGTTGCGCAAAAATAAGCTGCTGTTCTCAGCTTTTTATATGGTGACTGAGTCCGGGAAAAGAAGCTGTCATTATAAAAATGACGATGTAACTTCGCGGTCCTGAATCAAAATTAAAATTTGTTTTTTCAAGGATCCAGTGCGCACTGAAGTACCTGCCGCAATATTAAAGTGTAAACGAGCTGGTATCACAGTAAGGATGGTTACCGGTGATAATATCAACACAGCGCGAGCTATTGCTACGGAATGTAATATTCTGGAGCCTGGCGAAGATTTTCTTGCGCTCGAGGGCAAAGATTTCAATTCAATGTTCGTGTTTTAAGAATGAAATAGAATGGTGGAGAGAAAATGCGCCGTTTTTTGGTTAATGGGCAGTGGTTTCCGCCTCTCGTAGAAAGTGAATGCGGAAATGATTTAGACTTTTGATTAGAAACCACTAAATTTTCAGGATTCGAGACAAAGATGGACGTATTGTTCAAGAAAAGCTTGACAAGATTATACCAAGACTACGAGTGCTTGCAAGAGCGCAACCAATTGACAAATACACGCTTGTTAAGGGAATCATTAGAAGTAAAAGCTCATCGAAGATGCGGTTCGCTGGTTTCTGTTGATGAAATAGCTAGTTTTAGTACAACGAGTGAATGCCCGAAGAGTGTGTGCATCGTTCATTCCGGAAATATCCAGATCTGACACACTGTTACGTGAATTTCTATTTTAGTCTGATAAAATTACAGGGAAATCGTTGCAGTGACAGGCGATGGTACAAACGATGGACCCGCACTGAAGAAAGCTGATGTCGGTTTTGCCATGGTATGGCGCATTTTGTAGCAGATGTGCTTCCTCCCCTCGTTGCCCAAAATTTCTTACTCATATGTCTAAATCTGAAAAACTCACATAAGAAACCCCAAAAAAACTCCAGTGATCCTCCGCTTCATCGCTCCTTCAGTCACAGTTATCCGCAACATGCGAGTTGCCATTCCCTTGCTTGTTATTAATTACACCTGATCCTGGGTCAAAGTCTGATCTAGTGTAGTGTGCTTCTTTAATCACTAAATAATTCTACAAGACAATTAATTCAGCTTATCAGTACGACAGAGCAAGCCGATCAGAATGCGTATTTTTATTCTTTTCATATCTTAATTTTTGCACCACAAAATACTTCCTGTTCCATTCAGTTACTGATTATTTCTGTGCTGATATCGACACAGATTTTTAGCGCACAGTGATGATTTTGCGATTTCATAATTGAGCAGCCAATACTGCAGTCCATCTGGGAGACAGTGAATCTTGATATAATTTCTGATTCTTTGATGCTGTCATTTTAGGGTATAGCAGGCACCGATGTGGCCAAGGAAGCGTCCGATATAATCCTGACTGATGATAATTTCACATCGATCGTAAAAGCAGTAATGTGGGGACGAAACGTGTACGATTCAATAAGCAAATTCCTGCAATTCCAACTAAGCGTCAACGTGGTGGCGGTATTGACTGCATTTGTGAGTGCATGCACCATATCGGACTCACCGCTAAAGGCCGTTCATATGCTCTGGATTAACCTAATCATGGATACCCTGGCATCCTTGGCGCTCGCAACTGAAATGCCTTCCGAAGACCTGTTGAATCGGAAACCTTACGGACGGAAGAAATCATTGATATCGAGAACTATGGTCAAAAATATTTGTTGTCATGCCCTTTATCAGCTAGTCATTCTATTCATTCTGCTCTTTCAAGGTTTGTGTGCGATCGATTGCGGCATTCGACAGCAGTTATTGGGGGATATTTGGTGTTTATCAAAATTCCTGTGTTTTGAAAGCTTCAGCAACTATTTGATGATTTTTTTATAAGTTGTTATTCTGCGTTAGGAGATGGCGGGTGCGAGGAGCTTGATATCTATGCACACTGCATGCTCGACTAGTGTTGTCTTACAAATACTATTCATTTACAGGATATAAAATTTTTGATATAGAAAGTGGCATCTACGCGCCTTTGTTCTCGCCGCCCAGCCAGCATTTCACGATCGTTTTCAATGTTTTTGTCATGATGACTCTCTTCAATGAGATCAACTGCAGAAAAGTTCACGGTGAAAGAAACGTTTTCCGGGTCAGTTTATTCGTGATTTTTGTGCAGCAAATGAAATTAATTTGTCTACTCTGTTTGATGACTTCGATTTTCACTTCTTCCCCAAAATCCATTTTAACAAATGGTACTGCACCCACCGCTACAACATCCAATGCCTCCCCGTTCCAATCGACCATTACTCGCATACGTATCTGTTGAAGTCATTTTATTGCCTTCACCGCTCTGAAATGACCACATGTGACCACTGTGCGGTAATACAGATATCAGTGAGACGCAGCCACAAGTCAGGTCTACGCCATACTGTCTTTGGCTGTTTGTAGTTGCTTTTGTTGCGTAGCCACCTACAGAAAATAATAAATTGCAAGCAAGCCTGGAATGAGGAAGTCATCGACAGCTTTGCAGCTGGTAATTGACGCTAATACTTCCTATCCACGGAATGTTTCCAAGCACCTCTGCCTGTTTTAGTGAATGATTATGGAGGGGGGAGGGGGGCGAGGCTTAAATTTGTGAATACAATAAATACGAAAGCAGTTTGAAACCAAAATTTAGTACTTGCCTCTCAGACAGGAATCTCTCGGTCCCTCGTTTCAAAGAATGCTTGGGATACAAGCTGACGGCTGTTTGAATTTTTAAAATGATAGGTGTGCCATAGAGGTTTAGATTCAAAAACTGATGGACAATTCACGAAGATGCCGATCTGCTCGAGCACACGCACAATCGATCGTGAAGAATTCGCCTGAGATGGGATGGAATAAGACAATGTTCTAATAACTTTGTGCCATCGCATCGTTTTACGTGTACAGTGAAATGATTTAACGCAAGCGCAGGAACTAGTAGTGTAACCTTACTGGGCGTAATGAAGTCGATAAGTGCCTTGAGCAACAGCAACAGCAGCAACAACAACAACAACAACAACAACAACAACAACAACAACAACAGCAGCAGCAGCAGCAGCAGCGGCAGCAGCAGCAGTAGTAGTAGTAGTAGTAGTAGTAGTAGTAGTAGTAGTAGTAGTAGTAGTAGTA